ATTATTTTTAGAAATAGGTAGAAAATTCAACATCAAAAATTATAGTTAATATATTCTTGTAATAACAATTATACTACTAATTATTAATCACTTTTTTTAGATCTGGTGGTGTACGATCAGAAAGAATTGTTACGCAACAATCAAATTGATTATTATTATTTATTATTCTTATTGTTTTAAATCTTCAATTTAATTTGATTTTTTCTATATATTTTAGAAAGGAATATGCATATCCATTCTATTAATTAATTATTAGCAATTATTCAGTTATTTATCCATTTTATTAATTAAATTTACTCAGTAAATGCTCAGTCATTTATCCAAGCTTTATTTATCCATTTTATTAATTAAATTATATCAGTGAGATCATTTTTTATGAAAAATGGAATTTCCATAAATGTATCATATTCACAGAATCTATAAAAACATGGAAATGTACATATATTCATTAATATAAACGGAAAAACACTGAGATTAGTCACGGAATAAATTTTTTGCAAGCCTGAAAAAATTTAGACACCTATCTATAATTGCAACTTTTTACAACAAAATGTAGTCGTGCCATACAATTAACAACAAAATGTTGCAACTTTTTGCGACAAAATGCTGCGACAAAACGTTGCAATTAATTACGACAAAATGTTGCAATTAATTACGACAAAATGCTGCAACTTTTTACAGCAAAATGTTGCAATTAATTACGACAAAATGTTGCAATTAATTACGACAACATGTTGCAATTAATTACGACAAAATGTTGCAATTAATTTTTTACAAAAAAATGTTGTCCAGCATGGCGTGCCATACTTATTGATTGATAAGAGTTGAAAAGATTTAGATTGGGTAAAATGAAATGCATTACTTTTATTCCGAAAAAGAATGGTGTCTCCAAAAAGTATTAGCTTAAGAAGCTAACAAGGCAAGCAGTCACCATTACTTGCTATTGGAAAATAAAAAAAATTGTTGGTTTGCCAAGAAAAAGCCATGGTATTACAGAAAACGTCATACTGTGTAAAATTCTCTTTCCCAAAGTAAAAAGTAATAGTAAATAGTAAACAATAGAATGCTTAAACATTTAAAAAACAAACAAATTATTTTAGCATCTGGTTCAAAAAATCGTAAAGAAATTTCATCAAGATTGGTAATTAAAATATATTTATATATATCGGAATAAGATTTATTATTACAAAATATCAATCATTACTATAATATAATTAGGGTATAAATTTCAAATCAATTACAAGCGGATTTGCTGAAGATTTGGATAAATCTAGTTTGCTTTTACTTTATTGTAAGATGTCATCGAAAAACAATAAAAGAAAACAATTAAATAATTCTGTAGAGGCAACAAGACTTGGGTAAGTGTTTTAAGGATGGTGGTGGCGGTTATCGCCCGCCACTCATTGTCATTCTAGTTATTGTTAAAAGAATGGTGTTGTTACTCTAGCTAATATTATTAAAAGTAAGTAATAAGAGTGATAAGCAAATCATATTCATCTCAAATGCAAACTTGACTGTTTCATATATATGTGTAATTTCCAACTAATAGGAAAATAAAAATATCGAGTCTGTCAAGTCTAGAAAGAAAAAAACCGTCGGAAGAAACGTCAGGTATAAATCTCTTAATTCAAACGTTGAATTTTTGATATACTGTTTACAATTTAACTAATTTATACTAATTAAATGATCCTGTTTATTCATATACCCATTTTCATTTGTTTTGTACTGAATTAATCAACTTAGACTTTGGAAAGTCGAAATTCCGGATGATAGCTATGAAAAATTGGCTAATCTCACCCTCCAAGACTGTGACGAACTTCTATCAACAAGAAGAATTGGAAAATATTTTATAGAAGAGCCTATTGAAGAGCATATTCATATAATTATTTTCTACCGACATTTATGAGTACAGTGAACCCTCTATAAGTGCACCCCCCTCGGGAACATGGTGCTATTTCTTGTGAGCATGCATTTATGGAGGGTGTGCATTTATGGAGGGTGTGCATTTATGGAGGGTGATTTTATAAGCTCTCTATAAGCTTGGGGATGAGATGGGCTGTGCATTTATGGAGGGTATACATAGTGCGTGCATTTAGGGAGGGTGCACTTAGGGAGGGCTCACTGTACACAATATCAAGAAATAATGGAACAAAGAGAGGAATTAGGTGATTTGCATCCTAAAGAAACTGAAACTCAGTTATCTTCCAACGTAACTTACAGTACTAGAAAATTATGTGAAATTATCAATGCTCAAAATGAGAACATAAGAGTGTTGACAATTCCACCCCCATCAAAGGCTGCACAGCATTCAATATTTTTTAATGAGGTTCAAAACTTACAAACCATTTTAAATCATCGTCCTTATGATTAAAGACTAGTGCCGTAAATTATGGTGATGGAGTAATTGTATTTACGGCATATAAAAAGTGGTTGCAATTACCTTTGCGACCACTTTTGCAACCATCCTTTTTCTTTTTTTGGATTACAGCACTAGTCTTTACTTATGATTGCCTTGGGCCACCTGTTGTCTTTTATCATGCTGTATTCCAGGATTTTATTTCTAGTTTTGAGAATGAAGATCTACTTATATCAAAGAAAGTCTTAGAGTTAGTGTGCCCTCTTGTGAAAGATATGTCGGAACATTATAATATTGAAAAGGGATGTCTCAAAATGTTGCAAAATCATTTGAAGGACTTGTTTTGACCTCTACAACAGGTCAAGAATGAAGATGAAACAACTCCTGATTAAGGTTTCCGGTCCAAACTGTTTTATCAAAGCCCAAACTAGTTTGGGCAATTTGGGCTTCTCAGTATTTTTTATAACATGAACATTAAAAAACTACACCAATTGACTTATTTTAACTTAAACAACTTTAAAGTAATTTCGCCCAATTTCGGCTAATAACAAAAAATATTTTGGGCTTATAAAAAAGTTATTTTTGCCCAAAGTGTTTCGGCAATTTCAGCCACTAATTGAAAGAGTTTCGGCCGGAAACCTTACTCCTGATGGTGTAGTAACAGTACCTGTTGAATCATTACGTGAAGTTGCAATGGCAGTTCTGCTGGAAGCAAAGAATGAAATCGGGACTGGAGCTTCTGATCCTACTATACAGGGGGCATTATCATATGTTCGGCGCTGGGAGAAACTGTACAATATTGAACTTTTTTCACTCAAAAAATAAATGATATTTATTACATTTATTTATTTTAAAAAAAAATTAATATTAATTAAATTTATATATATTTGATTAAAAAATTTCTTTATATGTATATTGCAGTTGGAAAATGATTATTCTGTTGAATATATTTGTTATATAAATAAAAAAAAATAAAATTTGTATTGCAGTTAATAATTCTAATTCATAATTAGTTTGCTCATCATACATGTGTAAATTAAAAAAAAATTTATTCAATTTAATTGACGATTTATTATGTTTTAAAATAACCATAAAATGCAGCACAAAAAAAATTCACAAAAAAATATTAACCTAAAATTTTAATCACGCGATGACTTGCATATTATCTATCTTAATTTATATATCGAAAATTTTCTTTAAATATTTGTCTTGAGAAAGACTTTACTTAGTGGGAGGGACAGATTCGAGCTCAAAAAATGTAAAATTAAATTAAATTATTTATTTTATACGTTTT